GGGGGGGGGGGGGAGTGAATGCGTTTTTAGAAAAAGTAAACAAACAGAATAAGATCAATAAGTAAGTCCCCACTTACTGGCGACAATCTGCGTCAGGTTGTTGATGGCAATCGCCTCGGAGATGACCGCCAGTCGATTGCGGACAATGTCGCCGCTGCGGTTCAGGTTCGCCCGCAGCTGCGACTCCAGCTGGGCAAAGTTGGTTTTGAAGAGAATGTCCAGCTCGTACTGGGTGTTGTTTAGGTAGAGCTCAAAGTCGGCGAGAGAGCTGTTGGCCGCCTGGGGCAGCGCCTTGACGCCGCCCGCCAGCGAGTCGTTGGTGACGAAGGCGCAGACGATGAAGAGAAAGGTGAGCACGAGAAGGCTGAGCAGGAGCAGGGAGAGGATGGGCCGGAAGCAGCAGTCGCAGGGACTCTCCACCTTGTGCCTTGAGGCTGAAGAGCTTCTGCTTGAGGTGTGCCTTGAGGAGGAGGAAGAGGAGGAGGTGGAGTGGATGTGATGTGAGGCACCGCCTCCCCGAGATGAGGAGCTCCGGTGGCCACCACTGCTCGAAGGGTATTGATGCTGAGACTGAGACTGGTGTTGGACGTAGTGGCGAGCCGAGCGCGGCTTCGGCGGCTTACGACCGACGCCGCTGTTGCCACTGCTGCTCTTGCAGCAGAAGCAGCAGCAGAGAAAGCACAGAATGGGAATGAAGAATGCAAGAAGAAAGAGCGAAAGGGCAGCGATGATGATGTACCAGTAGTGGTCGATGATCTGGTGCAAAAAGAGAAAAGTGGTTAATCAGAACTCTGCCAAATCGAACTCGAAACTGAGCCTAGCCTAGCTTACCTCCAGTTTGTTCTCGTCGAGCACCTCGACGGGCTTGTGGAAGACGTCCCGCGAGATGACGGCGCTGGGGAAGCCCGGCTTGAAGAGCCGTCCGAGGGCGTAGTTGATGAGCAGGTAGAGGTGCTCCATGCTGAAGGTCAGCTCGGAGGCGGCGCCGTCGGCTCCCTCCGGCCGGGTGCTCCACTCGGTCAACGAGAGGATGGCATTTGGCAGGATGAACTCGATCGGCTGCAGGCCGCTGAGATTGGTGGTGCTCATGGTGGTGGTGGTGGTTTGAAGCTGTTGAGTTAGGTCCATGATCGGAGATTAGTTGCACTTGTGCGATTCGTAATCTTGAGTTGAGTTGAGTTGAGAAGTGGTGGAGGAGGAGGTCTCTGACTATTTGTTCCTTGTTTAGATAGATCTGTTGAGCATTGTGGTTTGTTGGTTTTTTGGTCGTTGTGGCGGCCGTTGACTGGCGTAATTGCTAAAGAGGAAGGAAGTGAAAGATGTGAGCTGAGTGGGCAATAAAGAGCAAAGTGAGATGGAGAAACTACCAACAAACCTCATCCACTGGGAGCCAACACCAACAGGCGACAGCGAAAGCACCACCAACGCTGATGTCGTTGAAGCCTCATCCGGTGCTACAGTACGTCAATTAGCGCTTGGACAGCTAGCCAACAGTCGCAGCAGCAGTTGTAGCAGCATTTGGGTCAGTGTTGATGACCAGAAGGCTGCTGAGAGTGGCAAAGCAGAAGGAGAAGAAGAAATCGAAAGAGAAAGACTTGATGGTCAGCAAACAATAAAAAAAATAAAACAGTGCAGGGGTGATGGTGAGGATGATGATGCGACCACTTCTTCAGCTGCTGCCTGCTACTTCTTCAGCTCTTGAAGAGAGAGACTGATGACCCACACAGGCGTCCACCGCCACTGTGAGGTTCAATGTCTTCTCTTTTTCCTCGGAAGTGAAGAGCAGCAGCTGTAGTGTACAGTTCAGTTCTGCAACAGCAGCAGCAGCAGCAAACCTGATTCAGGTTCTGCGCCCCCTTCAACAGCAGCAGCAGCTTGAAAACGAGGGCACCACTACTGACGACAGCAGTAGTACTCCTGGCGACTGGGCGCCACAAACAGCAACAAAAAGAAGAAGAAGACTCCTGACTACTGCGACGGATTGGATTGTGTGTATCCAACTCGAGTGATGGTGAGGGAGGGAGCCTGCCCGACCACAACATTCACAATCACACAAAACACAGCAAAAGCTCGCCTGCTCTTCTGCTGCTTCTGCTGCTGCCACTTCTTCTTCTTCTTCTTCGCTGGCAGATGCGCCCTGATCGACAGGCGACTGTCCAAATAGCCGCCGATTGTTGTTTTCACTCGAATCAGCTGCTGCCGCTGCTGCTGGATCGCTTCCAGTTTCTAAAACTGGTGCACGCAAGTAGAACTCTGCACCTGCACGGTAGAAGATTATACGAGAACACCTCTCTCTGACCACCAACACCGCTGAGCCGGAACTTTCAGCGAACCGATTCTCTTTCTACTTCTACTTCGTTTCTCCGCATTACCACCACCACCACCACCACCGGCAGAAGAGGAGTCCTCGGCTGAGCTGAATCCGGAGTAGGAGGATGACGACGATGGAGGTGCCGCGGCCGCTGAAGCACCTCGTGCAGAAGGTACTTCGCGGCTTCTACACCGTCGAGCAGGTGATCGTCGTCGACCTGCTCATCCGCCGGGTGGTGCTCAAGGAGGACGAGATGCTGGAGCTGCTGCGTTTCGAGAAGAAGCAGCTCCGTGGCATTCTGGCGCTGCTGAAGAACGACAAGCTGATCAAGTTCAAACTGAGGATGGAGACGGACACGGCGGGCAAGACCTTCCGCCAGAACTACTACTACATCAACTACCTCGTCTTCGTGAACGTGGTGAAGTACAAGCTGGACCACATTCGCAAGAAGTTCGAGCTAATTGACCGTGATAACACCTCTCGAGCTTCCTTCATCTGCTCCGAGTGTAACAAGTCCTTCACCGACCTGGAGGTGGACATGCTCCTCGACATCAACACCGGCGAGCTGAGGTAAGTGTGAAAGTTGTTGAGGGTAATTAAAAAGACTGAAAACTGACCTTTTCATCCTTGTTTAGGTGCACCTTTTGCGGCCACGACGTCCACGAGGACCCGAACCACCTGCCAAAGGCGGACTCGCGAAAGATGCTCGCCAAGTTCAACGAGACCATGGAGCCGCTGTACATGCTGCTCAAAGAACTGGACGACATCCGCTACCCGCCGGAGCTGCTCGACCCGGACATTCCCACGCCGCAGGACCAGCAGGCGAATCACGTCTACGACGGCAGCTTCGCCCAGGGCAAGTGGGCCGACAAGAGCAAGGGCCTCAGAGGGCCGTACGGGGCGATGATGGGCCTGCCCGACGGCCCCTTCAACGTGAAGATTGAGGACGCGGCGACGGCCGCGGC